GAATATGGTGAGCCGTGTCTATGTGGAACATTAAACCACTGCACAGGCATTTTCAAAACACTGGCCTAAGGCTTTCATGGATACTTGAATTAGATCTGAAAGGCCAAGTTAACTTCCTGAGGACTACCCACAGGAGACAAAATAAAACGCTGGGGGAAAAGATATATATTATGTGTAATATTTGTAAGTCCATTTGTTACTAAACCCTCCTTTTAGTAAATGATTGTATTTACATGCAGATAACACATGTGTTTTATGTTTTCTGTAAACTGTGCAGCTCCCCCGCCCCCCTCTGGGTTTGTCTCTCATGCACATAGTGTGAGCTGTCCACGTGTGCAGGCTCTTTGTGGGCGTGTTATATGTGGGTGAGTGGGGGTGGGGTACCATCTCACCTCTCTCCAATAGCCACTGGGAGGAGTGTGTGCTGATTTGCCACACGTCATCCACGGGGCTGTGAACTCGTGGAGCTGTGGTCTCTGGTAGTTGAAGATGAGGCTTGCCTGACCATGGCTGGACCCGGTTAGCCTGGTGGGCTGACAGGGTGGGCCTGGGAGGCCCAGCCCAGGATCTCACCTGCAGCCCTCCCAAGGCACTTTCGGGCCCATGTTTTCTGCTCCCCCCCCACCAACTCTGGGGGACCTGAGGTGGGGCTGGGAGCAGCTCCTCCCTGTTGACACTGGCGGGAAGCTGGCGCCACTGGAGTCCCGCCTGTGGTCAGCACTTCCCCTCAGGATTCAGGCAGGTCTTGTGTGCTCTTGGAAAGTCGTCCCCATCAGGGCCTCCCTTACCTTTCCAGGAAGCCCAGGAAGAGGTGTCGCACAGCCTCCTTCCCAGCGCTCAGGTTACTTCTTGTGCTGCTCTGGACGGGCCTAGAGACCTGGAGGTCAAGGTGGTTGCCTTGGCTACCTGGCCCCAGCTTACGCTCTGTACCCCCCACCTTCCTCGAGGTCTCTCGTGGGTGTGCAGAGAAGTGGAGGTGGTGTGCAGCAGTTACTCACACAAACGTGGACAAAGCAAAATCCAAGCTCCCTGCCACCAAGTCTGTTCTGCCGACTCATAGCGAGGAAGGTGCTTTTTCCAGGAGCTTTGAAGTCAGAGAAAGATCAATTATTCAGATCTAATATCTATTAGATCTAATTAGATCTAATAAAGATCTAATATCTCCACACACACCCTGTTCCCTCATGCTCCTTCACGTTCATTCTTTGAATTATGAAAACACAGCAAAACCTTCAGAAAAGTGCTCTGTTTTTTGACAGTCTGTTGTAGGGGATGGGAAAGCCGTAGGCTATATGAGAAACGAAGACAGGTGCCCATCAGTTAGTGCGTTGTGTGTATGAGAGAGAGGGAGGGGCAGGTGACAGATGCATCGATGATAGGTTCCGGAGGCCTTCTGAACAAGCTTTCAGTCTGAGTGGTCAGGGGAGGACCCCGTGGAGGCCGAGGTGGGGCCGAGTGAGCAGGGTCACTGGGAATTCTAGGACGAGGTCTGGCCCCAGGGAATGTCCCTCCCCTGAACTGGGCTCCTGGGCGGATGGTTTCATGCACTCGGGCTGGGAAGGACTTGGATGGAGGAAGAACCTGGCTGCCTGGCCCCCAATCCAGCTCTGCAGCCTGGCTCCCTGGGCGGCTCCGCCCAGCCGTAGGGCTCCTGGAGAAGATAAATGTGTTCAGATGTAAGAAGGAAGTGCAGGCTTGGTGCAGTGTGAGCACGTGACAAACAGGCCTGTGTTGTTACCACTGCGAGGGGCGCTGGGGACTTCAGAGCAACAAACATCGACCGGAGTGGAGAACCCGAAAGATGACGCTCGCTGTCCTGGATCTTATTGAAGCTCCCAGAGTCCCTCTAGGGCAGGGTCAAGCTGGTCCCTCGGGTTTCTGAGGCTGTAAGTGTTCATGGGAGCAGACAGCCTCCCTGTGTTCTCCCTCCCTCCCTGTTCTGCGTGGATAAGCAGGCTTCTATTCTGTGCATATCCTTTCCTCTGTTGGTGGACCCTGAGGCTGTTTGCATCTGCTGCTGTTGGGAGCAGTGCTGCCGTGAACACGGGTGTGCTGCGGCTGTCGATTTGTGTCACATTCTTATGCCTTCGGATACATAACCCCAAAAACGAAACTCGCTGCCATCGAGTCAAAACCAAGTCATACCAACCCTCAGTAGGCCCTTCATCTTCTTCCGTGCCTGTAGGCTGAGAGACTTGGTGCAGCGTTGGTCATTGTGAGGACCACGTGGGGGAGCGAGAATGGA